TAGGTGCAGAGAGTGTTGGGAGTCCCTAGGATGCCTGCCCAGACCAATGTCTCGAGGACCATCCTCCCGGCTCTGCAATGATCTTTGTTTGCTTTGGTACCTGGGTACCGCCTTTGTTTTCTTAGCTCCCTTATTCACGGAGTTAGATGGGGGGACGCCCCCCCCCCCGGTTGCGGTGGTTGGGACTACCCCGCGGGCCCGGCCGGGTTAAAGGTAGTGTGCCAGCTTTCCTGGACCGTATGGAGTTAATGGCCCAGATAAGGAGAACCGGATTTTTAGAACTTATCCACACGGGCGTAGGAACGTCATGAAAAGTGGGTGGGCCACCCTGTCAAGGGGCCTCCTTTTTCAGGGGCCTCCTATTTTCAGGGGCCTCCAACTTTTGCCTCGTCCTGCTGGCTGCTTTCAAGTATGACCTCCAAATCTAGCTTCTGAGATCGGGGCTCGGGCAGATGTACCCAGGGGCGTAACCGCTTAAGCGAACAGTGCGGAAAGTCCGCACCATTTTTAAAACTTATTCCCCATCCGATTTTTTTTTTAGAATCTATTTGCCGCAAACGGCGCATGACCCCTGAAAACCCTTACACAAATGTCTTCCTCGTTTCCCAGGTGCCCCCATTAGCTTCATAGGCGCCCTCTTTGGCATATAAGCGCCCTATGTATAGTCATCAGAGACATCCTATATGTCCCACAGTCGCCCCGTTGTCGCATACAATGTGCGCTTATCATAGGCGTCTCTCTTTTATGGACACTTGAAGGCGCCTCTCTTTGCCATGCCGGCGCCCATGTTTCTTATGAATGCACCCCCATGGCATTGATCAATGCAGACCTCTATTGCATGTGGACGCCCATATATTATGTAGGCCTCAGAGGCGCCCCTCTTGCGCATTGAGGTGCCCCTATGGGCTTCATAGGCGCCCCTCTAGATATTGCACGTAGGTGCCCTACTGTCTCAGAACCGCTCCCCTTTGGCATGCAGACGCCCATCTTTCGTACGGAGGAGCCGCTGTGGTTCTTAGAGACGGCATGTTGCTCCCAGACGCAGATGGGGCTCTCGGAGTCGACAGTGTGGGACCTTCAGTCGCTGATGGGTGCCCGCCAGATGTGGACCCTCGGAGACGCCGGTATGGGGCCCTCAGAGATGCCGGTATGTGGCCCTTAGAGACACCGGTGTGGAACCCTCAGATACTTCAGTGTGAAGCCCTTACAATTGCTGGTGTGGAGCTATGAATGCGCTGGCTTAAATCCCTCAGAGACCGGTACATGGACATTAGAGCTCAGTGAGAACTTGTGTGGTGCCTTCAGTGGCCTTGTGGAGCCGTTAGACATCAACATGGTGCTCTCAGGAGCCGGTGAGTCCTCAGAGTCACCGGTGTGGGGCCTTCAGAGCTCCGAGATACTGGTATGGGGCCCTCCGAGGTGTCGGTGTGGGTCCTTCAGATGTACCTATAGAGCCTTGAGATGCGCAGGTGTGGTGGCCCACAGAGGCGCCGGTGTGGGGACCCCAGAGCCACCGATATAGGGCCCTAAGAGACACTAGTATGACCCTCAAAGGCGCCGCTGTGTGACGCTCATAAACACTGGTGTGGAGCCATCACAGGCGGGTGGAGCCGTTAGAGGCCGGAAAGGGCCCTTAGATGCCTGCAAGGAGCCTTCAGAAGCCGGCGTGGCACCCTTATGGGGATAAGCGTGTCTACTTAGGAGCCCATGAGGTGCTCTCATGAGCTCTGTGGGGCCCCACCGGGCCGAAATATGGCCACGGCCAGTTGCCGCCGCATGGCTCTTCGGACTATCATTCTCAGGGGCCTCATCTGCCTAGTTTGAATAGAAGGGCCTCTCAGACAATCAGTCTCATGGGCCTCCTCTGGCTAGTATAGATAGAAGGGCCTGTTAGACCATCAATCCTACCTAGGGGCCTTTTCTGGTTAGTATAAATAAAAGAGCCTCTCAGACCATTTATATCAGGGGGCTCCTGTGGACAGTATAAATAAAAGGGCCTCTCAGACCATCAGTCTCGGGGGCCTCCCTAGAAAAGTGTAAATGTGGATAGAAGGCCCCCCTCAGATTCATTAGGAGTGGACCTCTCTGACTATCAGTCTCAGGGGCCTCTTGTAGCCAGTATGAATATAAGAGCCTCTCACACCATCGGTCTCAGGAGCCTCTTCTGACTAGTTTGGATAGAGGGCCCTCCCAGACCACCGGTTTCAGGGGCCTCCAGTGGCCAGTTATATGAACAGAAGGGCCTCACAGCCATCAGCCTCGGGGGCCTCTTCTGACTGGTGTGAATATGAGGGCCTCTCATACCATCAATCTCAGGGGCCTCCTCTGCCTAGTGTGAATATAAGGGCTTCCCAGGCCATCAGTCTCATGGGGGACTCTTCTGACTGGTGCCGGATTGAGGACCTCCCAGACCGAAAGTTTTGGGGGTCTCCTGTGGCCAGTATGAATAGAAGGGCCTCTCAGTCCATCAGTCTCATGGGCCTCTTCTGCCTGGTGTGATTATAAGGGCCTCTCAGGTCATCAGTCTCAGGGGCCTCCTCTGACTACAGTGTAGATGGATAGGCCTCTTAGACCATCAGTCTCAGGGGCCTCTTCTGACTATTGAGGATAGAGGGGCCTCCTCTGACTAGTGAGGGTAGGGGGCCTCGGCTAGATCGCCAGTGTCAGGGGCCTATTCTGACTAGTGTGGATGGAGGGGCCTCCCAGACCACCAGTCTCAGACGTCTGACTAGTGTGGATAGAGGGGCCTCCCAGACCGCCAGTGTCAGGGGCCTCCCCAGACCAGTGTGTATATTAGGGCCTCCTCAGATCCACTAGGGCCTCTCAGGCCATCAGTCTCAGGGGCTTCGACTGACAAGATGAACAGAGGGCCTCGTTGAATCCATCACGGCCCCTTGGAGTCCGTGCGTGGGGATTCGTGGAACTTATTTTTACCGAGTTTGTTTATTCTGGAAGGTGACGACGTCCTCTCAAATCGAGACGAGGGGCCTCGAGTAAAAAGTGGGTGGGCCAGAACACATGGTTGGCCCCCCCACCTCGAAAAGTGGGTGGGCACTTGCCCACCTGGCCCCCCCTGTTCCTACGCCTATGCTTATCCATACCTTCAAAACTCATGGAAACGTCTTAAATTATTCAAATTTTGAGTACCCCAGTGCGAAATTCGCCCCGACGGGTTGTCGGTCGTACCCCAACCACATTTCACACCATTATGAACAATAAATGCACACACTGAAATCGCTATTACCGATATGCTCATCCAATCAAGTTTCGATAAACCCGTTTATCATCAGCTCCTGCGGTTTCGAACACGCCTGTTAGGTGGTGCGGTAGACCGCGCCCAAAGCCAGGGCCCCGGTAACGTGAGGTAGCCGAGTCAGGGCAGCGTGCGCTGACCCAAGCCGGAGCCGCGCGTCCTCCCGGTGTCATGTGATAGCCCGGGGCTGCCCGCGGGGATGCGGTAGACCGCGCCCAAAGCTGCGGCCCCGGCTTGGGTCAGCGCACGCTGCCCCGACTCGGCTACCTCACGTTACCGGGGCCCTGGCTTTGGGCGCGGCTTCTGCTCATACTTTGTGGTGCGGTGGTGGTGCGTCGGGCCGCGCGCTCTGACTTCGGCCAAGAAAAATGCGTCAGCTGATCATTGTCATTTCTGCCACTTGCGTGTGGTGAAATGGGGTCATAACTTATGAGACGGCTTTTTCATATCAATTATTTTACATAAAATCATATTTCAAACCATAAATAATGTTCGACAGCCAAATAAAAGAAACAATACCAATACAGGCTTACAGTTTAAGGCTCGACATTGTGTTGTCTACGATTAGACAGCTGATAACTCATTCCCGTACGTCGTATGGTCGTAACACTATAATGACCTTTGCTTATTGTCACATGTGCGCCGCATTCGCGATTGTTGCCGACGCCTGTTTGCAGGTGAGCCCACTACAGTTGTTATACATATCTAAAAACCGATAAACTTTTAGGCGAAAAATGCACTATTCCAGGCCCATTTTTGATTTTTTTGCGATATTAGGTAAAAACAGAAGCTTCTTATCCTAGGAAAAATAAAATGGGAAATCTTTCAAAGGTGGCACACTACCTTTAAGCTAAATTACCTTTTCTGATTAGGTACGTCATAACTATGACCCAGTGTCAAATATTCAAGAAAACCTTGAGAAATCAGAAAGTATTGGCATCTCAAGCTCGCCTTGACGGGTGAAACGCGATACGGATAGCTAAAAATGTTGGAGCATGTGATAAAACTTTTACTGGAAAAAGTTTTCAATCCATTTTGACGGCTTTTGTCCTCTGAAGGCGAAACCGTTGCAATGTCTAAAAAATATGGCATCTGAGGAAATTCTAGCAAAAAAATATATAATTTATATTTATGCTTTCCGGGATGTTTTAGCACAAAAAGACAACGAATTATGAACTCTTTTTTCCAAGTTCGATCTGTAAACTTTGAAGTCAATGACTCTTGGTGACATGGCCTTGACCTGTCACTACAAAAGTCTTTTTATTCTTTAAAATTATGACGCCTTTTTGAACGCCGCTTTGATTTACGAAGTAAGCCATGTATGTTGCTTGTTATATAAGCTCATTCCAACTGCTCAAATCTCAATCACACTCGAAGGCAAAACACAGTTGCATCCAACCGCATGTTTGTTTCACTGTCTTCTCGAGCGGCAACCTCTTGCCGCCGGAATGTGGCTGCCGTAAACCGATACTGCGAGCCAGCTGCAAACGAAATCCTCCGGGCGCACCTGACACCGGCGCGCGCCCGGGGCGACTGCGACCCGACCTGACCGGCGTCATCGGGCGCCAGTCGCAGACGCCGCCGCCGGTGTACTTATCCCGGCCGATGGCGGTCATTAGCTGACGTTATTGATGGTCGGCTATTGTTTTGAGTGCTGGCGCCGGCCGGCCGCGGCCGCTCACGGGCGGACGGCGCCGGCGCGCCCGAGCCCCCCGCGCGCCGGCCCAGCAACACGGCGCCGCTCCACGCGCCGGGCAGCGAGCGGGCCTCGCGCGGCGGCCACAACAGACGCGAGCGAGCCGCCGGCGCCGGCTGACCGTGTGGTGTGCGCGCGCGACATCCCGTCTCCGCTGACCCGGCACTATGTGTCGCGCTGATGTGGAGGAAATTCATGCTTCCGATTCATAAGCAAAAGCGCATCGAGCGGCTCCTGAGGTGGCGCGTGTGCGATGCCGACGGCGACGCGACGGACACAGTGCGACCGGACAGCGGTGCCGGCGCCGAGGCCGACAGGAGCCCGGCCAGCGCCAATGGCGAGGCGGCCGAGCGGACACTGGTCAGGAGCGTGCTCAATACGCTGGAACTCGACGCGCTGAAGATGCTGTGTGAAGTGATTGAGAGCCGGGGTGACGCCCTGGGCTCGTGTGTGACCGTGCCGAAAAACGAGTACGTTCTCAGGTCGAAGAGTGCCACGCCTGTTGTGCTGTTCTGTCGCTACTTCCGCTGGCCAGAGGTGGACTGCCAGAGCCGGCTGCGACGGTTGTTCGTCTGTCGCGGCGCCAGTGGTGACTGCCATGATTGCATCAATCCCTACCACTGGAGCCGAGTCTACTCTCAAGGTGAGCCATGCAGCAGTGTTGCCGTCGGCTTATCTGCATTCGGCCGCCGTGTTGCGGCCTTGGTAATCTCCTCAGATGTTGATCTTGTAATGCTGTCCTCTTGGTCGCACTGTCTTTGCGCTGTGACTGAAATCCGTGTGTCATACCAACCGAACATCGCGGGTATTGTAGGTTCTTATCATCTGTCTCTCAAATATCTGTCATTAAACATCTTGGGCGACAGAAACATTCACAAATTTACCAATGACTCAAAGTCAACGTTTGCAGGCGTTGATAAAATATTTCACTCGGGACTATACAAACGGCTTGCTTATCTGCCCACTTGAGCTGGTTCATGCACCGCATGAAGCCGAGTGTGTTTGGTTCCCTCTCGTTTCTCACCATGAAGAGCATTTGTTTGACTTTCGCAAGTCCGTTTGTATCTATTGGTCACTATCCCGTACCTGCATAACCTCAAACGCAGTGACACTGAACGTATGAAGTATGATGTCGCTTGTCTTGTGGTATGTGCCGTACAGACAAACGTTTCTGGCGATCCCCGGCGCCGCACTTCCCTCAATTGCATGACCATCATGGATGGGATCGAATCAGGTTTCTAGGCGTGGAAGTTGGAATTGACGCTCCATGATGCCTGAGGCAGGCTCATACTTGGCCGGCTCATAACTGTCCAGCTCCCGAAATTCTCAGCCCATACCGGGATCCATACCGTCGGCTGCCTGACCTACCGTGATCACGCGATGCTCGGTAAAACCAGCGGAACAGTCCGACCAATATGAGGGCGCTCAGTGAGAGGCGATGGTCGTCCCCGTGCCCACGTTGGGTTCCGGACAAAAAGTCAAATGATAAAAGGTAAAAGGATGATTAGTCAACAGACATTACGTCAAAAGCAAGAAGTCAAAAATCTTAAAAGTCAACAGGTAAAAGGTCAACAAAGAGGAAAGTCAAAAGGCAAAAAGTCAAAAAGGATAAAACGTCGAGAGATAAAAAGTGAAATTGTCAAAGAGTCAATGAACAAAAAGTCAACTAGCATAGAAGTCAAAAGACAAAAAGTCAAATGGACATAAAGTCAAAAGACAAAAAGTAAAAACGGCAAAAAGTCAAATTGCCAAAAAGTAAAAAGGACAAAAGTCGAAAGACAAAAAGTGAACAGGACATAAAGTCAAAATCCAAAAAACCAAAAGGACAGAAAGTCAAAAGGACAAAAAGTAAGAAAACAACAAGTCAACCGGGCATGAAGTCAAAATAAAAAGTCAAAAGGTCAAAAAGTCAAAAAGACATATAGTCAAAGTCCAAAAAGTCAAAAGGACAAAAATCAAAGGGACAAAAAGTAAAAAAGGACAAAAAGTGAAGAGGACAAAGGTCAAAAGACGAAAAGTCAACAGGACATAAAGTCAAATTACGAAAAATCCAAAGGAAAAAAAGCCAAAAGCCAAAAACTCAAAAGGACAAGTCAAAGAGACAAAGTCAATGACACCTGGATCATCAGTCATTACATACATGAGATAACATTTACAAACAGCTGTACACAATTAAGCAGGATGCTGCACAATATAACCTGCATCATTGGACATTGAAGCGAGACTGCCTCCATTGCGCGACTGATGGGGATTCCCATGGCCCGCAGGCCGCAACCGCGACTCAGCTGGTCACACGGGCATGCTTGGCTGAAATCTGACACACATCCGTTGACACTTACGTGCTGGGTGGGAGCTCGCTCGCATCGTAAGGTTGTCATGAGGCATTTGAGGCAGCGTTACATGATCCTTCGAGACGACTGGCTGTACCAGGCACAGTTTACTGGAATTATTTCAACAAATATAGTAACCCGGAATGTTATCGATACGAAAGGTTCGCTTGTTCAAATTTCCTATATTGTGTAGGGAGACGTTTCTCATCAATTGATTCCGTCACGGGTTCTATAAGCGATTTCACACTTTCATTATAGTTCAAGCGTATTGTATGGTACATACAATTGGTACAATAGTAAAGCGCGTCGTTTCTTTTAGATAGGTGGAAGTTGGCTGTTGGAACGAGAGGCAATTGTGTGATTGTCGGATTGTCCTGCCTTGAAAGGAACGCTCATATGAGCATTAACCCGGCCGGGCCCGGGGGGTAATCCCAACCACCGCAGCCCGGGGGGGCGTTTTTCGCCCCCCCCCCCTGTCTAACTCCGTAAATAAGGGAGCTACGGAAACAAAAGCGATACCAAACGAAAGGTCCTTACCAGACGATTCTAAAGCACCTAAAATTTTTGACGTCAATTTTCAAGGTCAGAGGTCAAGGTCAAAGGCAAAAACCGGCACAGGTGTAGTGATCTCAAAGTAAGCCTTCTAGAGGATGGCAGGATGCATCAAACCGGCAAAATTGGGTATCAAACGAAAGAAGAGAATCTGAGGATTCCGAATATGTGCTCCAAATCAAAGGTCAAGGTCAAGGTCACGCTCAAAATTGACCTCAAACTTTGCACTTTTTCGTACATCTTGCTTGCTAACTTCCAAGACGTTTTGAAATGTTTGGAGGCTTATCAGTTCCCTATTTGTGGTTCATCTTACGATACAAGGCTGCCCAAAGGTCAAGGTCACAGAAGAGTATCCTTGCTAGAGGCTATTTCACTAATTCAAGTTAGTAATAATAAATAAGACAATTTTGCCATCCGGAAGCTCTAAATGAAGGCTTAGAGGAAAATGGATGCGAGATTCGTGATCAGCGAGTACAAATCCATCATAAACGACCTTTCATGTGTCAAGGTCAACCAAAGGTCATTTGAGGTCACACGAGGTCAACATAAAATTTGACCTTTTCCAAACAAAATATATATCATTCGACGCGGCTTGACACGGCGAATGCGATGGTACCACTGCCGTAGCTCTAGGACCATTTTTGTCGAAGTTATTTGCGAAAAACTAAAACCACATTTCGGGGTCGTTGACCTGACCTCTGACCTCAGGTCACTAAAACTATTTTTCTATTTTTCTCTAGGTCAAACGCTACACAACCGTGCTCGTAATTTGTCTTTATCTCTAAAACTCTATTTTTAGCAGCTATTTGAAGTTCGCGTCTGTGACGCCGAAGTTTGCCTTGCAGGGGTCTAGAAAAATCGACCTTGTGACGTCATCAAGGGGGCTAGGTCAAAAATTTTTACTTCAGAAGATGTCAAATTGATGGGAGAAAAGGTACTGAAAGTTTCGCTTTCCTATCCCTAAGCGTTCGGGAGCTATCGCAAATATTCGCCAGGGGGGGGGGCGAAAAACGCCCCCCCCGGGCCCGCGAGGGTTAACAGACAACAACCTGTTAATATTCACGGACTGCATACAATTAAGGTGCCCAATTTTCATCGAAAGGTACGGTCTGCATACAATTAAGGTGACCTATTTTCATTGAAATGTATAGGTCAATTAAGTTATCGAGATACCATTGCTAAAAACACAATTTTTTAGGACCTCGGAGCTGTGACGTCCAAAGAGAGGTGACAAGTATAGCGCATTGTGGCCACCAGTTACTGTCCCTCTCCTTCATCTTCGCCTCCGCCCTACGTCTCCTTATCGGAACTGCCCCCCCCCCCCCCCCCCGCCACCAGCAGGCACAGTACGCCAACTTTAGGTATATAAATAAGTTCATATTTCCAATATACTTTTTAAAGAAAAGTAAAAATAGGTTGGAGCGTTCTTATCGGTAGTGTCGGGGCTCGCACGGGGACGCGCCGAGACGCGCTATGCGGTGCAGACGGCGCCCAGCGGGCGGCGGCCGGGGATCAGGTGGCCCGGCGCGGGTCAGTCGCCGACCGGAGACGCGGGCTGCGGCGTACAGGGACCCGCAGTTGCTACTGTACACATATATTACCAATTTAGAATTGTGTTATTATTTGCTAAGTGCTGGCCATTGGAGAAAAGAAATGTAGCGCAAAGTATAGAGGAATAACACATGTTTGCTTCTAGGACGAATGTTTTGCATAATTCCTCTTACCGCAACAGATATTCTTCAAAAACTACAATCGTGCTATTTTTCTGTGCCGGTTGCCTCCCCAGAGCCCGTCCTTGGTATCGCCACTAGCTCCCGCTCCCGCTACGTGAATGAAAGTCACGTGACTACTACACGTTTGCGCTCAGTACTAACACACCTAGCCCGAGGGCCGGTCCGTAGCGGGGAGGGGTAGAACGCTAGAGGTCCAGCGCAGTGGAGCTGGTGGTGGCCCGTATCATAAAGAGGCAACCGTAAGCAGAACTACAATTGCCGCAGTATGAGATTGTGATAAAGTTTTCTTTAAATGTATTGATTAACAAGAAAGTGCAACGCTTTTTCGAGATAATAAAACGGTGTCCAAGGTCTTGGAAGAACTGTAAAACATATGCAGGAACGTATAAATTTCTGATACAGGCCATGACCTTTCACCTTGCCTCCGGGGAGGACCGCTCAGGAAGCCACATACTGAATGATTCGAGGCCTCGCAGCGCGGCGGCAGACGAGGTGGATAAACCATTGCCGCCTGATCTTTCGAATACTTATGTTTCCAGAAGAAGGATAGGGGGGGAGGGCTGTTTTCAACACACTCACAATCCTTCCCTTATTAAGTTATAGCTTACCGAAAAGATGCAACACAATGGTGGCCGTCACGAGATGTAGCGAATAGTGCCTCAGCCACACCGGTTTTAAGTAAACCTTAAGTATTGGAATTCAGGCCAGTGATCCTGAAGCAGTATTTTATTTTTGTCGTGCATAAGCTGGGATCACGTGGGCAAAGTTAATTGCAAAGAAACGGTTTTAGTTTCAGAACATTTCTGAGGCTAATCGCGCCAAATAGTATACGTTTATTGCAAAATGTCAAATAGAATGTTGACGTGCTATCCAGATGATGGAATTTATACCGACACAAGAAGTCAAAAAGTGGCATCGTGAGTCATGTTGCATACCTATAAATCGATTCGTCAGCTTGGTTCGAGCTCAATAGTTCATTCGCGGATGATCGTTTCGTTTTTTTTTTAAACAGTTTATGAGCCAGCAAC